AGACGGGGTAGGACGTGTTCCAAAATTTGTACCTTAACGAGAAAGAATTGGGATCATGCGAACACATTTTTTAAGGAGAACACTTTGGAGTATTTATTGGATTTTTTTTATCTGATAACTCACATAAAAATCCGGATCTTCGTCTACCTTTATCTATTGGCTCACAAAAAACGCACATCTTCATTTACCTCATCACCTTCACCGACTTTCATATGACTACGGTCACCTTCACATGCAATTTGTTTTTTTTTAATTTCAATGAGGTGGTACAAATTGGTATGCGAAAATAAATGAAGGTGTGTGAATGTCGGTGGATGATGGATGAAGGTTGGTAAAAGTAAGTATTCTCACAGTTATCACTAAAAAAGTTTGTTGCAGACCCAAACATGAAAATTTTAAAATTCGGTTCCTCATGATAAGAATCGGTATAAAGTTGGTTTCATTTTTAATAAAATATTTCCTTTTTTAATCCTTTTTATGTATATTTTTCTTTTTCTAAGCATCAAATATACACAAGAGTAGTAGGAGTATTAACGGGTCCTTTTTATTAACTTTAATGACGCATGTACCAAAACGTTAAAGAACACTTCATTTAAGTAACCATATAAATATAAAATCAATAAATTAAGGGGTGGACTTTTAGTAAATGTGGTAAATGTTTACAGACTCGCATACCTTACCAGGTAAGATAAATAAGGTAGGACCAAAAATTTTATCCGATAAGAAGTATAACTATGATCTACAATCTTACTCAGTAAGTGAGGATAGTGATTTTTACCGAGTTTGCACTTATCAAGTAAGATTAAAGTCTATTATGTCATCTTAATGGTCGAGAGTTGTTGGGATAATTTCTAAGAACAATGCATAAAAGTCCAAAACCAATTGTCTAAATGTGCAAAGATGCATGCGATGCAAAAGCCAATATGGAAAATTTGGATCCTAAATGGGTCCAAATATACCAACAAGTAGAAAATACATCCAAATCAATTCGACTACTATAAATGCTGATAAATCTAAAGAACACCAAGATTTAACGTGATTTCATTATCGTGATATAGTGTACCATAAAGGAGAGACATGGCTTGGATATTGATAAACATATGGAGGAGAATACAATGGAGTATACCTTTTACAATGACCTTAGAATCAATAAGCAAGACTTTTCTCAAAAATCCTAGCAAAATGGCCTTAGGGAAGAGAGCCACCAAAAGTCTAGCTAAATTCAATGTTGAAAACAGTCTTAAGCGATCTTATCTCTAAGTCCTGGGTGGGTGGGTTATCCGCATCGACCAAGCCGCGACCCGCACAAACCAACGCCTTATATATTTTAGAATTTAAAATTTTCGTGCACACATATATATATAGAGAGAGAATGTGTGTGGTTTAGGGGAAAACTCTTAAAAAATAAAAATTGAGAAACACCCTAATAACCATTTATCTGTATAGTATGCATATGTGTATGTTGAAAAAATTGCTTGTATGCACATATGCATACCTTACAGATGAATGATTATTACAGTGTTCCTCAATTTTTCGTTTTTTGTGATTTTCCCATGAATCTGATCCTATACAAATTATGTATTATAATTTATATACAAATATATATATATATATATATATGTGTGTGTGTGTGTGTGTGTGTGTATGTGTGTGTGTCTATAATTATATATTATTTTATATATTGAGATGAATGTTCAAACGAGAATGTTAACTATTTAAGAAAGAAAAAAAAAGAAAAAGGTCGTTGATGTACAAAATCACATGTGATTTGCATTAACATCAAAAAAATAAAAGCCGGCTACTTTTGAACCTCTATAATTTTGTACGTGAATATATATATATATATATAGAAACTGACGACTTTTGAACCTGTATAATTTTATACGTGAATATATAAATGTATATATATATATACACACACATATAGAAGCCGACGACTTTTGAACCTGTATAATTTTGTACGTAAATATATATATATATATATATATACACACACACACATAGAAGCTGGCGACTTTTGAACTTGTATAATTTTATACGTTAGTATGTGTGTGTGTGTGAACCATGTATAATTTTATATATTAACAATATTTTTCTTGTTTTCTTAAATAGTTTGAACTTGTCCCTATATTTGTATGTATCTATAATTAAATATTATAGTAAAAAATATGATTTATATAAATGAGTAAATTACAAATTTAGTCCCTGTAGTTATATTAAAATTTGGATTTGATCCCCTCTTAACAAACTAATTACAAGGATGATCACTATTGTTTCAGTTTGTTATAGATCAGGTCCCTACTTCTAACCATGTTAATCCTAGCCCGTTAAGTCAAGTACATCAATGTCTTCATTTATTACTTTAAAATCATTTTGGAACACCTCAATCACTAAAAGACATGTGTCCCCTTCCAACATATTCCTTCCCAATATCACTGATAACTTTTATTTTTTAGTTATTTATTATTTTTTTTAGGTTTCTATAGTATTTTATTTACCCATTTTTTCTGCTATTTCTTTTATTTTATCTAATTTGTACTTAAGAGGTGATGAATTACCAAGGATTAATTTTTGTGTTAAAAATGACGTTATTGTGGACAGTGGGTATTATTCGCCCACTGTGGGCATGTTCGGTGCTACTTTTGGACAAAGAAATATTTTGATTTTATCTAGTCTATAGGTACAGTATCTTGAAGTTTTGAAGTGATCTAAAGATCTCTAGAAGATGAGAGAAATAGTAAACACCTTTTGTACTAAAATGATTAAAAAGTGTTTCATCCATTGCACAAAGACCTCAATTTTTCATATATAAAGAAGCGTGGTGCAATCATTAAATGATCATCTCATCTTCAACCAAGAGCTACAATTTGAGTTTCATTTACTCTTGTGTTTGGTGATTTTAGTGTATAATGTATTTTTATTTATATATTGTAATTTTCTCTCCAGAGCTTGTCCTCCATGTCCAAGTTGTTACTTTCGTTTTAATGCAACTATTTTCCAAGTATTTATTATCATGTCTTTCATATCTAGTATGAGTCAATCACCTCATTGAGTGTGGATGTGGGTATGAGTCAAACTTAAGACTAGTAGGCAACATTTGGGTGTTGCTATCGTCGTTAATTCTTAAGTTTGGTCACTTGAGTCGGGACTTAAACAACGCGGATAAGCCGACCACTTTAAAGTGTTAATATTAGACCTTAGATCCAGAGATAAACGCATTCGAAATACGGCTTAAATGATCACAAAGATTTGAGAGTGTGTTTGCTAATCACATAGAGATACGGGTTTTGTATGATTTATTAATATTCAAACTTTAGTCGAGTTTTACATCATAAATAGATTTAGGTATAAATCTTTATACTAATCGAACTTGATTTTTATATATCAATTTAGCTAAATCGACAAGATTACGAATCAGTAATGGTGGACAATTTGTTGGCACTTTGTCGGCATAGTCTATAGAGGTTCACTTTCGAAAGATCGGGATCTTTATAGACAATTACGTGATGCACAAAGTATCTGACCATTGTGTTACTACGTTTGCTTTAAGAAAAACTGACACGCATATCCATCTTTTCATCATAAGTTTATTTTGTCTTTCAAACATTTCAACCAACAAAAACTTGACTTCTATTCACAACCAAAACGTGCTGATCAAGAAGTTCGTTGAACTCTCTGATTCTTAGTAGTCCATTCCCTATGAAATGATCTTGGTACTATACTATTTTATTACATGTAGCGATCATAGTGTTCTTGTACACTTACACCGTCACTGTAGGGATTTTATATCCACTGTATGAGCACATATGATTCCTAGCTATCAATCACTTACCCTTCTTCTCTCACAACGTACCATTGTTTCCATTCTTGAGTTCTTGAGGGATTTTAGTGTTTCCATTTTAAACACCCAGATTTTAATTCAATACATAATTTCCATTTTAAACACCCAGATTTTAATTCAATACATAATTTCCATTATTGAGGGTTTTTAATGTTTCCATTTTTAACACTCAATTTTTAGTCCAATACACATGCACCGTTATTGAGGGTTTTTAGTGTTTTATCCGCCACGGGTAAGAAATATTTTAGGGTTTTAGAGTTTTTGGTATTGCATCTTCATCATCTCCAACCGATCATCCAAACTCAACCAAGCAAAATCATGTTCTAACAATCCACCATAATTGATGGTCAAGGGCTTTAAGCAATGATCGATTAAGTCCCTTTAAATACTGGGCTCCAGTGGTGATCGATGGTGTAGGGCGGACGTAGGAAAAAGGTGACGGGGTTTTGTGATGGTTTAACGAGGGCAGAAATAGTGGTTGAAGGTGAATTGGATGGTGGATTGGAGTGGGGTTCACCATCGGTCCGTCGCAGGACGAATTTTGTAATTTATTCTATATTAGGGGTCTACCCAAATGTTTACCCGGTAAGTGTTTACCGATAGGATTCAACATTATAATTTATTTTGATACCTAAGATTTTAGTACACCAAAATATATCGAATGCAGCAAGTTACTGGGTAAGTGTTTACCTGGGTAAGAGTCGTCATCCTTACTTACCGGGTAAGACTCTCTATCATTTTCATTGCTCTTACCCGGTAAGATTCTTGATCCTTCTCATGTTCATCCGATAAGAAAATTTATCCGATAAGCACTTACCAAGTAAGTGTTTAGTAAACGGCCCTTTCGTTTTATATTTTGCTACGTTATAAGAGAAATAATAATTGTGTTTTTGTCCGATGTTTTTTCGATTAACAAATTGAAATTTCTTTTCCCACCTCATTCTTGTCTAACGTCATGTCAAAAATTGGACTACTTTTATTTTTTTGGCCGGTCCAGGATCAAATACCCAAAAAAAGACCCGGTTCATGATTAGGGTAGCGGTTCGGTTTTATATTCAATGATTTACGGAATTCCGTTAAAAATTGCACCACACCTCGTTCTTTGCATTTTGAACCAGAAATATGGTTTGACAGGTTTTTCTCCCTTCAAAATTCCATGAAAATCGCCCAAATTTTCTCGATTCATTTCCCGTCTTTCAGTATAAACGCTAAAATCCTGTTAGATTTTCTGTTCTAACGATTATCATTCAAGAAAACAGTAATAGTTAGAAACGAAGGAATTAGAGAAAGATGATGCCCATGCTACCATTTGCACCATCGCCATCAATTGTTAATGCTTATGCTCGAGTTGATAAGGCCACCAGCGAGTTCTTAAACTGTCCTGATTGGAGAATCAACATCGGGATTTGTGATATCATCAATACTAAGCCTTGGTAATGCATCTAAATCATCGATGCTTGATGTTCATTTTCGTAATGACTGTTTGAGATTTTGGATTTCTGTTTCGTTGTTTCTAGGGTTTCATGGATGTTGTTTTTTATGATTGTTATGTACAGAGTGTTCAAACAATTAAGGAGTATTTTCTTTAAACATGTTTATGCTTCGATTATCTTATTGAAATATACAAAACGAATTTAAGAGTATTAACTGCTTACTGCGATGGATTGAGCTTAAGGGGGTGTTTGGGATTGCTTATTTAAAACAACTTATGTTTTTTTTTTTTGTAAAAGTGCTTATTAACTTATGTATTATCAAATCGGAGTTAAATAAAATGGGGATAAAATTGTAAACCGGTAATAAGCAGTTTTCCATAAGTCAGAAAGAATTAACTTATCAAAAACAGCTTATTACCGGTTTGGCACCGGTATAAACAGTTTTTTTTTTCTTCTTATCCAAACACCAGAAAACAACTTATCACCGGTGACAGACTGAAATAAGTTAAAAAGCAGCTTTTATAAGCAATCCCAAACACCCCCTAAGTTTTGGAGCATTATGAAAAATCTAGTTAAGATACTTTATTTTAAAAAAATTCAATCTAAAAGTATCATGTAAACTTATTATAACACTTTTATATAGGATGCACAATTGTTTAGTCCTATAAAGTTGTCTGAAATGAGAATACTTGGACATTTTTTACGTCTATAACTCTGATTTTGTTGTAATGGAGCCCGGGTATCCATTTTCTTTGGAAGCTAAGGAAGTAATTGAAGTAATGAAGATCAAATTTTGAAATTCTATTTGCACCAAAAACTGTAGGAAAAGACTATATTAAACCTCTTCTTATTGCCTATGGTTCCAGGCTTTCCAAAGACTATGTAAAAGCTCTAAGAAGTAGATTACAACACAAGAATCCGAATGTTCAGCTACTCTCTTTGACGGTATCTCATATTTTCTGAAGATTTTTACTACAAATAACTTGTATATATACCATTGTATCAATCCAATTGTAATTTGTACTACAATCTATTTTCAAATTTTGTGATGTTTAGCTTTTGGAAACAATGGTGAAGAACTGTGCCGACCACCTTCACAGCCAGATAGCGGAGAGAAAAATACTTCAGGAGATGATCAAGATTGTCAAGAAAAGGGTTTCCTTCTTCTCTTTTCTTTTACTCTACTACTTCMATGATGCCATCCCAAAAAGACACAAAAAGGGCATCTAGATTCGAGTCACTTTGTAAATGAATCTATAAAGTATTATACTCATTTATGAATCTTGAATATTAGAAAGTTGATGAACTTTGTTTCTGCAGACACATATGCGTGTAAGGGAGAAAATCTTGGTACTTATAGACACTTGGCAAGAAGCATTTGGAGGCCGAAGAGGAAAACATGCTCACTATCACCATGCTTATGAGGAACTAAGGGTAAGTGTACGTATGATATTGTGGTGCCCTTCGTTTTGTTTTATTCTGTCATTCGATAATGTCATCGTGAGTCCCGACTATGGAAGAATGTATCGTGATCAACAAGAGTGATGTGCGATCATGATCACGAGAATATGGCTTCAGTGAGCATCCACAATGGTGAAGCTTTTTCAAAAAAGTGGTGCCCACATTCAAAATCCACACCTGCACAAGCAAAAAGGAGTTTTATTTTTGCCTGGGGCTTTTTTATTGAGCTTATGTCGCCAATAAGCTTTCAAATAAGCACCATCATAGATGCTCTCATATCTGCATTATACAAACATTATTTGTTGATTTATGTTCATGGGAACAGCGTTATGGAGTGGAATTTCCCCGTCGATCGCCAAATCCGGCTCCTATTTTTACACCTCCGGTTACCCATCCATCACCTGGACACCCTCAAGGCGGAGTCAATTCCTCAAATAGGCCTGAAGCCATGACTTCCTGGAACGAGAACTTGAGGTATGCTTAGGCCATGTTTGGCAACCATTAAGCTAACCTATTTTATGAGTTCAATGAAAAACTCTCAATAGGTAAGCCGTAAGCTAGCCTTTTGAAAAGCTACTTTAGATAGCTTATTGGGTTTTTGTTTCACTTTTCCAATTATACACTTTATATTTTCATAAGTGCTCCTTTATTTTCCTTTTAGGTCATTTTACATTGTCCTTTAGCTTTTAAACTAGTTCTTACCAAACTTGACTAGTTTATGCACTACCTTATTAGCCAACAGCCAGCGAGTTTGCCAAATATAGCTTTAACGTTTTTTTTCTTTTTCGGTGTTTATGCTGTTGTGGAGTATGAATAGAGTGAAAGATTTTAACTTGTGTTGTTAGTGTGTCGACGTTGGAGTCTATGAGGAACGTTTCAGATCTTTTATCCGACATGTTGCAAGCAGTCGATCCCAAAGACCGTGCGGTATGGTTAACCGTTGCAAATGCATCTATTGGTTGTTAATGCATAAATGAAGATACCAATTAGTAGCGATTGGGTTTTTTATGTCGTATTCAGGCTGTGAAAGATGAAGTTATCGTTGATCTTACTGACCAATGTCGATCGAACCAAAAGAAACTTGGTCAAATGCTAGCTTCAACAACGTACGTAAGCTCGAACTAATCTTTTGGAGGTAACAAAGATTTTATTAAAAGTTTTTGTTTATGGCAGCAATGAGGAGCTTCTCCGACAGAGTCTTCAATTTAACGACACCCTGCAATGTCTTCTAGAGAAACATGATGCTATTGCCTCTGGTTCCATGACTTCTTTTCAAGCATCGAGTTCGATGAACCATCCGAGTCATCTTAAACAGATTGAAAGTGCAGAAGTAAACTCGAAATCAAGTATTGTGGCCTCCGCACCCATGGTTCATTCATCAGCGAATGAAGCAAAAGAAGAGCAAAACAATTCTGTTATGATAGCTAGCAGGTCAATTCTTATATCAAACCCTTTTCATTCCTTTTCTTTCATCAACTTTAACTCCTGTATAGGATTTAGGGCCTGTTTGTTAGCAGTTTAACGAGCTTAATGGAACTCACAATCTATTCGGTTAGCTATACATGACTGTTTGGTGGTGGCTTTAATAATATAGAAGGTGGCTTATTCAACAAGCTTCTTGGGTGGGGTTCTTGGGTGGGGGGAGTTTTATGCATCAATTGAAAAACTTGCTCCTTCTATCTATGAAAAATCCCTTACAACAAAAACTTTTTCAATCTATATAGACAGATTAATCCACACACAGCTTTATCCATACGACCCCTTAGACTGTTTTCGGGTAAACATAAGATTGCTTGTTTCATGTTTGGCAACTATTAAGCTAGCTTGTTTTTTGAGTTTATTGAAAAATTCCCGTTTTATTAGCCATAAGTTATCTTATAAGCTAATTTTTTGAAAATCCTTTTTAATAGCGTATCAATAAGCTCCTGGGTTTTTTTCTATATTTTCCAATTAATTTTTTAACACTTTTATGTCATTGTACATTGTCATCTATTTTTACTAAACATTACTTGGTTTACCAAACAACAACAATTTTGTCAGTTAGTTTGCTAAATAGGGAGAATTAATGGTTTGATCGTTTTTCATATTTGCAGGCACTACGAAACACAAAGCGTTTCTTCTCAAAATGGCTCAGCAACGGTTACTGCTTCCAAAACCAACGAAAAAGCCGCCTTGGATCTCTCCTTGACCATGGCCATCGTTCTTTCTGATCCACCACCTCCAGCAAACAAAAAGAATGCGGAAGACATGATCGACTTTTTGAGCCTGGCGTTAGCACCTGCAAAAGCTTCAACATCTAACATTGATCATACCCCTCCGGCTTTAACCATTGTAGAAAACCAACCACCACAGGCACCCATGAACAGCTACGTGGTCCCATGGGCTCAGGCACAGGCTCAAGCACAGGCTCAGGCTCAGGCTCAAGCCCAACCTGAACTCGAATTACAACACCAGGTTCAGACCATTCAACAACAATCCAGCTACATTCCTCCACCATGGGCACCAACACCTGGCTATTATTGCAGCCCATATGCAACTGCTTATTCAGCTGCTAGATCCACGTCTTATTATAACAACGGTGGTTCGAGTGGCGAGGGTTTGAACCCATATATCCCTTCGTATAGATTGTTTGAAGATCTTAATGTTCTTGGCAATCTGAGGACAAGCGGCACAGCTGGGACTTCTGGACCAAGTATGCTGGGTGGCCAGAAGTGAAAAAAAAACTGGAAAAGTTGGGTATCTTATTAAGAATAAGATTGATGTTAGCATAGAAATGGCAATTACTTGCCTAATTTCCACTCAAAAATGCTATGATTGAATTTAGTAGGATTTTGTATTTGTGAATAAAGTGTGATTTAATTATGGTTGAATAAATGAATGTGTATTTTATTATTATATTCGACAGTTGAGCTTCATCGGTATAGACAAAACGCTTGATCTGAACCGTTTTGTCAAAATGATAACATAAATTGACGGGAGCAAACGAGATCATTGCTTGATTCTTGGTTAAATTCTATGTTTACGAATCCTTGTATCTAATTACGAAACTGGTATGTATCTGTGGCATCCAACATTTTTCATCTATGTACGGATATTTAATTAGAGTTTTTTAGTTTATTTTTCCCGGAAAAACAAGACTCAAACAAAAAACAAGACTCGAACAGAAAACATTCAACTACACAAGAAAAATGTTTTCCTTGCCGAGCTTTTTCACATGTCTAGATGACCAAAACACGAACGCCATGAACTTTCAGAAAATGGATTCTTGATCGAATAGTACATAATTGCATGGATAAACTCACACTAACCCATCAATTTACGATCCAACTCCTCATGAGAGGTACCAAGAACAAACTGAAATGGAATAATATCAACTGAGATTCTCAATTGATTTGATTCAAACGCCAGGATAAACCATTTTTTTTCTCAAATTTAGCAAATACTTGATCTGTTATATATCCCGAACTCATATTTATACGCAACCGTTCAATCTTAAATTAGTCGATAAAAACTCTCAACTCAAATGAATGAAAAAGACAAGAATTTGTTGTTCAAATTGATTAGTAGCATTAGAACAGAAAGTGGACATTGGGTGGCTTTAATCACAAGGAATTTCAATTATATATAAATGCAAAGATTTGAAGAGGGTGGGGGGATTTTTACAAATTAGAGACCAAGAAACACTGTAAGTAAAACACACTAAAACCCAAAGAAAACAAGATGAAAAGAAATATTTACACCATTTTTATACCACCGCCTATCATTTTGTATCAAATTATTTGCTCAAGCCTCCACCAAATATACTTCACTTCACTTCACACCAAACCAACCAACCAACCAGCCTTCCTTCTGGAGGCTTAACGAATGTATACGACTCCCCGTCATTTCTCCTGCTCCATTTCTCAGGGATTTGTTTGTTTGTTTTATCTCGGTGGTGACATTTCATCGGCATAGATTGAAACACAGGCATCAGCAGCTCCGGCCGCTAGTAATATTTGGTATGGATGGAACCCTAGACAACTAACAGATCCTATTTTTTGTGCCATGAACGTTGGAGAGTATCGAATCGTGCCCAATTGTTCACCTTCAAGATTGAACACTTTGATCAGCTGTTTAGCTGATCCACTGGCTATAAGGGGTGCATGCCTGTGAATGGCTAAAGCCGTCAGAGAACCCCTGTGGGCGTCAATCGTTAAGTAGGCATCACTTTGATTTCTGATATCAAGGAACTGAATGTCTCCTGCTTGAGATGCACTCACAATCTGTAATCGAAGACAATGGAACAAGCAAGATTGATAGTGAATTCTATTGTATAACAAACAAAAAAGAATAGCACCAGTTCATGGGTCAGGTTCAAGGAAAAACCGCAAAAGGTGAAAAACTGAGAAACACCCCGGTAGCCATTCATCTGGATGGTATGCACATGTGCATGCAAGTAACTTGTATTCACATGTGCATAAAAACCAAGAAATAGCTTCAATTACTTGTATGCACATGTGCATACCGTCCAGATGAATGGTTACCAGGGTGTTCCTCAGTTTTTCATTTTCTTTTTTCGGGTTTTCCCCAAAACCTCCCTCCCAAGTTCATTTTTTTACCTTTGCTGGATCAAGTCCGGGTTGAAAGCCAATTCCCACAACTCTTTCTATACCCCCAACTCTTTCTACTCTCCGAGTATGTGGTCGGGTAACACAAACAATCCTGCATGAAGCGAAATGACAATAAAGAAAGAATTAAGGGATTGATCTCGAAATACATCTTATGTTTTTTAGTACATGCATTATAATATTACGGGTAGCTATTACTCCCTCCGCCCCAAAATAAATGTCCACAATAAAGAAGGCACACAATTTTAGGAATGTGTAATTATTACAATTTTTGATTAACTAAATGACAGTTTTACCCTCAATAATATATAGAGTAATAAATTTCTCCATCTCATAAAAAAAGGTAGAACTGAAAAGTAGACACTTACTTTTGAAAGTGGACACTTGTTCTGGGACAAACCAAAATAGAAATCTGGGACACTTTTTTTGGGGTAGAGGGAGAAAATTAAAATAATTTAGTGGAAGATAGTAAAGGGTGGATGAAATTGGCACGTAACCAAGAGTTGCATAATAGTAAAGATTAACTGGATTCGTCACTAGTTCTATACTTCCCATTGGTAAGTGACTCACATAAGCATGTTGAGATGGTCACGTTAACGGATAGCAATTGAATAAGATGAGCAATAGTGAGAAAGATTATGGTGTACACTAGGTGATCATCTAAATCAACAACTCTAAAGACTGGTCATCTCCATCAAATGCAATTGGGTCAAATAGAAAATTAGAAACCAGTTGGTGAATTAAGTGTTTAAGGATGTCATTTAGTTGCCTTCTCATCAATTGTCTTCATCAATTGATTAATCAACTTGGAGGTAACTCGTCCAATCTTTCCAAAGTAATTGCATAATATAACAAAGATATTAGTTATTTAAAAAAAATGTACTAAAATACCATGACATCAAATTTTCAAATTTCATACGTTTTCATAATACATTAATACTCCCCCTCCGTCCTAAAACAAATATCCACGATAAAACAGGCTCAAAGTTTAAGAAATATGTACTATTACACTTTCTAATTAACTAAATGACAGTTTCACCTTTAATATTTTACAGAAAGTAATATAATTATCCATCTCATTATAAAGGGTAGAATTGGAAAGTAGGCACTTACTTTTGAATGTGGACACTTGCTTTGAGACAACTAAAATATAAATATGGATACTTAATTTCGGACCAAGAGAGCATGAAAAATGAGCCACTTAACCCCATTTAAGTAAATAAGTGCTCAGGATATCATTAGACCACCTAAATTCTATTTTAACCCTTTTAAACAACTGCCAATTAAAACGGAATCTTGGTGTCGCGAGCATATTAGGAGTGTAGAAATTTGTCTATTCTCATCTCGGAAGTAATGAAGAGAGACTAGAATAAGCCAAAAGAGTCGAGTGTTAGATGCGAGTGTGTGGAATGCTCTGAAGTCACAAATAGGGTTGTGTCTTCATGAACCTAACGACTTATCATTCGTATCATTATTTATTATTATTTATTTCTAAATTCATATCATTTCAATGTAGTATGTTATTCAAGAGTGGATCGGACTAAAGGGGGAAGTAATATCCACCAATATTTGCACCTAGTGATTGTGATTCAGATACCAGACTGATTACTCAACGTCTATTGTAGCAGAAATAGGCATTTCAAGTACACCAATTTGCCACAAGGGTTGTCGTCAGGTTGATGGAAAGTATAAATATATCAAAAAAATGAACAAAAGCATAGTTAGGACATGAGGAAGGACAATGCACAAAGTGCATACCCGTCAGGTGTTCGAATATCAAATAATCTGACAGAACCATCCACAAAGCCAGCTGCATATTGACCCCCATGGACATGAGAAGCAGCCTAAAAGCAGCATACAAGGAATTAGTCATGACTAGTATTTATTTTTCAACATACATTAAAGACATGAAAAGATAGAAAAACTGCCAGATGATATCAGCATACTGCTGTTTATCCCCAATGAAATAGACATTAAAAAATGAATATGAATATAAAGTAGTTGAAAAATATATAACAAGAGCAGTGGTGGTTTTATTTTTTGTCAACACTCAAGTTCATGCATTTATGCTAAATAAATTGACATGAAAATGAAGAAGAAAAAAAGTAGAAATATTTGCCTAACAGGCATGCTTAATAAATAATCATATATAAGAGTGTGTTATTGGCTAATCCCCTACTTCAACTAATGCCACTGACTAAAATTACTTTTGCATTTAACTACAGATACATATCTCCTACTAGATGCACACATAAAAAAAAACGAAACACCAGCCTTTGATTATGTGATTTACTAATGCTTTTGCTAGCCATTGTCATCATGGGTGATACAAATTCGAAAAAATGCATTGCCTAGACAAGCACCTTCCTTATCCCAACCCAGTAGCAAATGGAGATTGTTCCAAACCAACAAATAACATGCATACTAACTATAGTACAAAAAAAAGACGACATTATAAAGCAAGGGTCAACCTACCAATGCCGAAATGCTGCAATCTGATGATAGAGGAATAGAACTTAGAAGTTGCTCTTTATCCAGGTCCCATACCATGGTCGATGAAATTTCACCCGAAGCATACTGCAAGCATAAGATATATGTTTAGAAACAAATGCAGGCTCAAAGCTTCATGATATTACCTTTATAGAACCTAAGTCCATGTTTGACTTGTCAAAAGAGTTCATTTTCAACTTGAAAGGTAAAAGCTTCATTGAGTAACAAAAAATTAATGAATACCCTGTTTGAAATAAGTATCACAATACAAGCATTTTCAAGACAAAGAAAGAAGTTATTAAATTCAGATACTACCAGGTCCAAATCTATAAGATCACAAGTGGGGGTTTATGGAGGAAATAGCAACTATGGTGTTCGGTCCAGGAAGAAAGATGAGATAAAATGGGTCAAAAATACTTTCAAAAATTGGAATAACTCTAATTCTAAACTGTAAAACATAAACCAAACAAATAAATGGATGAAATGATTCATTCCATCACATGGTTTATTGTAAAAAATGAATCATTCCATTCAAACGACATTTCATTCACGTCAACCAAACAAGCCATGAACTTCACTTCTACAACCTAATTTCAAGCTATAAATTCTAAAATCAAAAAAAATTAACCACCCTTTGTAATTCATCTTAAATTAGCAGCATCAAATATCATTAATAGATGAAGGATAGATAGAGATGACAAGAACTAAATACACTACAATCAAACAAACAAATGCTAATAGAATAAAGTGACACATAAACAACTATAACTGGTAATTTACTGAAAGAACTAATTTTGATGCTGTAGCACTTGGGCTTGTATTGATAATTTTAAAGGAGAATATGTGACTAACTACCCAAAGACATCATGCTTGAGCTAAATCCATCAACTCAAATGAGGTTTGGTGATTGGGATATCTTTCAATTATGTTAGTTTAATGTTTTAAAGTCATAACAGGGGAGACTCTTACCATACATCACAATATACAAAACGACTGAATTGGAAAAAAAAAAAAGTAGCTGAATTGCCTAAAAAGAAAAAGGTGAATTTATCAATGTAACATCATTAATTTTCATCCGAACAATTCATGGAGTGCAGATAGAAAATCGGTAAGAAAATATTTAACACATTATAAAAATATCGAAATTGTCCTTGAGAAATCAGAATATAGAATATTTAGATAAGGATCTGCAAAAAAAATCCATAAAGGCTTTTGAAGAAGAGAGATTTGAATCAAACACAATCCCCAGAAACACTACAGGCATAAATCAGACCAAATAAATGCCTATGCCTAACAAAGAGGTTCGTTGGCAGCAAGTCTCTTTTAAGCAATACAAGACTAACAAAATTCAATAAGTCCTAGAGGCATCTAAAAAGAGGGGTTCCTTAGCTTGCATGTCTCTTTAACAAAATGCCTTATTGGATAACTATAACATCACTTCATAAGAAAGTTCTATACATCACAGTTGCAAATTTCCCCCACTAGCTTTAAAGATCCACCTTACCAATTTCATCTGTCCTGTATACATCTAACACCCAAATGTTCATTTCTACTTTGGAACACTAGCAGTACATGAATTTATCCAGTGTTTAAGTTTATGTGCAACTAATCTAATTCTGCCATTCATAAACCTTGGAATAGGCAAAATAGAGTAGATGAGAGGGCAAACAAGGAAAAAAATGAATATTTAAATCAACAGAGGGTTGATAAGTTGAATTTCTATATGACATGGAAGAACTTCATATTAGTGTATATATTAGGTAATAGAGAGCAACTTCTCACAGAATTTTTTTGAGATTGAGACTTGAAATATTAGCGTTCACAACTGGAGTAGTTTTATTACTCGATCGATATGGTATAGAATGATTTCTATGCTTTTCAGAAACCTAGAGGAGGCCTATGATGTAGTCGAACAAAATATATAGACATATGATGTGCTTGACCATTTTAGAAACACAAAAGAATATAGTTGTTTGTAGTTGTTTTTAATTGCAGGGCAACGTCATAGATCTATGTTATCCAGGAATAGCGAACATGGTAAAAAGCTTATACCATATAGCCAGACTGTTGCTGCCAATCTACTACGGCACTCACACTCCTGACACCAGGTCTATGACCATGAATTGAGGAGAAGGCAGTTATGAGTTTCTGTTTACCCCGAGAAGTGTAATCTTTCCATATACGGACATTACCATCACCTGCATTAAGTAAGCACAAGAAGCAAATAAATATCGATCAAAACATAAAAGGTAAAAACATTATCAATATGAATGCATTGAGCATTAGCAAACTTACTTGAAGCTACAAGGAGCAAACTTTCATCAAGCTCGTTCACCAAGCATAATTTTGATATCCCTTTGTCCGGATTTTCATGATTGTTGAAACTGTTAAGCAAGGTTGCTTCCTCGTAGTTCCATACTCTAGAAAAAAGAAAAGCCAAACAATAAGGAAGACATTTGAAGGACAAATTAAGTTAACAAAATTAAAATGGCAAAAACTGTATATGACATTTTACAATCCACATCAATACTTGAAACAATAAAATACATGTCATGCATGAAAAAAGATTCTAAAATACAATCAAAACTAGCCAAACAAGATCAGAAAATGATGCCTTTATGCCAGAGTTACCTAAACAATTATATGCATTGATTCATGATCAAGCTACGGGTGCTTGGTACATTAGCTGGTATTACCCTATTCTTGGGGATAGTCCCAATTGATACATCACTTTGGGCATCTCGTATGTCACAACAAGCATTATACACAGTAGTAGTGGAGTTTGAAACTTTTTCCTAAGAAATCAAAATACATAGAAATTGATATTCCAGATTATGAAATACTACTAAGCATGTAACCCTGTCTTTTTCTTAGATTTGTCAGAAATGGTAAAATCCCATGCTACCTAGTTGATGGTAAAGTTAGTTTGAAGTACAAGCATGCATATAGATAGTTGTTACCATATGAGCTGTGGAGTATTCTCATTTAATTTGGCATGGTGCAAATTAAATACAACAGTCGTATTGTCAAAATATATTTTGTTTTCAATGTGACCATGTATACCATAAATGTTAAACAAGCTTAAGAAGGTAGACGAAATAGATGTAAAAATAAAATAACGTGCTAAAATAGGGGATCAACCGTGGATGCTATTTCCAAAAGGATGTTAATTGATTACTAGAATTATATCGGTTGAAGCATATGTAGGTTATAATTTTTAGAACGAATAAAATAGAATTAGGGTTCGTTCTTGGGGGAATCTATAAATAAAAGTTACACCTAAATCCATTCATGTCTTGGAAACAACCTCTATGCAAAACACAAGGACAACACCACTTCCAAGGATTTCCCTCCCCAACCCTTACAAAGTTCAAGAGCATTGAAAAGAAATGGGTCTCCATCATCTCAATTAAGTCACAATTATTTCTTATAGACCTGCAATTAGTATGTTTCTTACTCATTAGAAAGCAAGTATCAGAAAAAAGCAATAAAACATGTTATATTTAGCCCATCTTAAAAAAGTAAGGTAATCATCCCCAACAAGGAGAGGAATATACTATAAACATTACCAGGTCAAGAAGGAAAGAAATGTTGACGAGCCTCTCTTTCAGATTGCATTTAGGAAACCCTAATAATTTCTTATGAGGAAGATGATGAGAGAAGTGAGAAGAGAATCAACAATACGACACCATCTCCCAAAATATGTTATCGGTTTCTTATTTTCCTCTTCTATATTCCAAACTCTATCCCATATATGATTCACAAAAAGGTGCTAGCAAACACAATAACATTGGGCAGAATTCTGATTACTTTTACCTTTCACTATCCATTATTGTTTACTTATTAGCCCGAGTTGGTGCCATGACATGTGTGGCACAATTAGAGTTCGCTTGCATAGGGTTTATTAACCGACTAGGTAAGACTTCCTCATGTCACTCGAATAATATAAAAATCAACCTCTTACCACTTTGAACAAGGATCCATCAACCATGTGAAGCATCAACAAAGGACGTAAGAGACAATTGTACGACCTCCCCACCCAAAAAATGAGTGATAAAAACAGAATAACGGTTTGCTTTGCAAAAATGGAAGCAGTAATTCTAAGAATAAATTTTTTATCATTATCAAAACAGAAGAAAAAACTGTACAGTACATTCAACCCACCTAAACTCCTATGCTCTCTGAACACAACACATGGCAGAAATCCCAGATGAGCACATCTATAAGGATATAAATGGACGAAGATAACACTTATCTATAACATATGGTGCAAATTGCAAAGTAGACCATATTTGTTCAAAAAGGGAGATACAAGACCTATTATCAGAAGGTTCTGAAAGAAATCAAAAGGTTCCATGCATCGTAATGGTCATGTAAGCAGAGATAGTAAAGATTTTCAAAGAAACCAAAAGATTCCATGCATCATAATACCAATGAGTAAATAGACAGAAAAAGAAATGAATTAGTGCTTGTAAACGCTTAACGTAGCAAGACTTTGTGGTCATCAAACTCTAGCCAGATAGACTTAATCCTCTGCAAGAAATGGGGACAAATGTCACGCATAGGTCATGTCATACCTGGAGAGTGTGTTACGGCAAAATAAGCTTTTAGTGGCATGCCATCCAGATTAGGCATGCTGTTAGAAGACATTGGTGTTGCACATCTCAGAATTAGGTGGAAGTTAAAAGAGGAAATATTCTGTTCATTCAGTGATTGAATGGGTAGAGAACGGCACTGGAATATCGAACAGTAACCTAATAGAATGTGGAAGTAGGTGGCAACATTCATTAATTTGATAGCCAAGGAGGTGGTCCAAACAAGTAAAGTAGGTCACACAACTTTCCCTTTTAAAACACTGTTATACAAAAAGATTGGACAGTCATTATCTTTTTTCCTAGTGATGGAGGAGAGTAGAAAAGACCTAAAAATCGATATACTACTGTGTATGCTTTTAATCGACAAAGCAGGTGAAGTGATGAGAAAAAAGAATGCATAATGCATAGAGGAAATTGAACATGTTGAAATCTAAACAGATAGGTTAACATGAAAGTAGTTTGGAAGGATTTCTTCCATTAAGAGAATGACGAGGAAGCAAGTCATAAGGTGCGAAAAGGTAGCATGCAACGCTTAAGAAGTTAAATGTACCATTGCTTGCAATGTTACAAGCAAGAAGACTTTGAATGCACCAAGTAGAAGAGGGGATGACTCAAGAAAAAAATGTAAAGATTGCCAAGAATGATATGTAAAGTTACGAAAGAGATGTCCATGAGTAAAGTATAACTAAAAGGTTGCATTATATAAGAGTGCGAGGAAAGATATCATCCCCGTCACAGAATCTTTGAGGTTCACTTTTTTATGTTTTCTATTAGGGTTCAAGCATTTATGTTGTATTCTCATTTTTGCACATTCCCCAAGTAGTTTGGTACAAAATGCTTGTTGTTACATAGACCTCCAGAAGACAACAAAGCTTAGATGACATAGGCAAATAAGCATTTCCAGTATATTAAAATAGTAACTCTAACTTCTAAGGTCACAACAACAATACAGAGGTGATTATTGAGTAACTCTATGGACATAGCAACAATAAAGTGGTAACAGCGCCAGCAAATTATTTAAAAAGCACATGTAGGATGCCACTTTACCATGGTTACCAACAAGCTACACAACTAAACCATCGAGTTCCAAATGACTGATTCCAAAGTGAAAGATAATAGGTTCGGTGATCTAAGAAGCAAAACATGGATATTCCCCCATATGAAAATTGACATTTTTACCTTAAATGGCTTGAAGTATTACCTAGGTCCAAGCACATAGAAATGCTAAACAACTCAACCCTTTTAATTTATTTCCGCCAAGCATCCCCTCATTTTGTAACTGCTCTCATTCCAAACTCAAAGTGATGATAAACTCACTGCTCGTATTACTCAATATACCCATCATAAGACCTCAAGAAAGTTCAGTAAACAAACTCTAACTCTCCCTCAACTCCTGGTATAAGCATTGTGGCTTGGTAAGATATGTGCAAACCACAGAAGAGCACAATATGCAGTGTCTTCGTCAACCATTAAACCAAACGATCACATCCTCAATGTCGCATTGTGCAAACCGTCAAGGAATTACAAAATCCTGCAATTCTTGGGGGAAATCTAGACATTAAACTTTTAATCTTCGCTGATATATCAAGTAAAGGGATTAAGAAATCATGATGAATCCCAATTTTAAGACCAAACGATGGACTTGTTTCCCAGATGAAGACTTCCATTAGCTGATTTTCATGCTACATCTTGTTTAACTCTCCAATGAACAAAGTGTGGAGGTAACTGATTCGGATTTAATTACAATACTAAAGGTTTGTTGCAAGTATACTTCGTACAATTGTTGCATTTTATGTGTTTGCTCCCTTTTCATGCATTATTCTAATACAAGGTGTGTTTAAAACTCAGGTATGGTAAATTATATATAGATATATATAAATATATATACACCCATATATAGTTCTATTTATATGTAATTATGTATGGAGTTAATGTTCTTAAGTCATAAAAGATAGACAGCATTAATACAAAATATGATAACTACACAAAGGGGCCGTTTACCAAACACTTACCCGGTAAGCGCTTACCGGTAAAATTTGACACTATCATTACTTACCGGGTAAGATTTTAGTCCACCAAAATGGTATCATATGCAACAATTTACCCGGTAAGCGCTTACCGTGGTAAGAGTCGTTGCCCTCACTTACTGGGTAAGACTTTTGGTTCTTGTCTCGCTCTTACCGGGTAAGATTCTTGGTCCTTACCATATTCATCCGGTAAGGTAACGTGACTTGGTGTTCACTTACCCGAGCAAGCGTTTGGTAAACGGCCCCTAAGTCAAAGTACTGTAATTCAACACCATGATAGCAAAAAGATGGAAGCGTAACCAATTCAAATTAGATAACAATACCAAAGATATTCCATACACGTGTCACCTAAGTTATGGTACAAAGTGGCTCCCTTTTCATGCATTATCCGGACACAGGGTGTATTAAAACGTGAGTATGGTAGATGATGCACATCTATATAAGCTTTATTTGGAAGTCATTATACGTAGCACAAATATTCAGAGATCATCAAAAGATAGGTAACATTAGTACAAAACAAGATAAAACACCAAGTCAAGGTACCCAAATTCAAGTTCTATATTTCCTGGACAAAATATGTAGGATTAAATTTGATCAAGCTACAAAATTCCTTATTTCTGACTTGCAAATAGTACTTTTTGTAATTAGAGAAGAAACATATGGAAAAACAAAAACATAATCTATTTCATCAATATACCCAACTTGGCTTGTCAAAGTGGTAGGAAAATGTCCAAAATAACCCAGAAATATTAAATCTAAGTCTCACTCTTGGGTATTGCATAGTAAATTCCAATAGGTGCATAAAAGAGCAGTCAAGAAAAGTCCCACCATATCAAATGTGGCTTACCAATTATTTCAAACAACCAAACCAAGCAAACCCTAGTAAATCCCACGTGAAGTAGGGTCTAGGAAGGATAGGATATAGGATGTACGCCAACCTTATCTCTACACTGAGAAGTAGAAAGGTCATTTCCGAGAAGACCCTTGGCTCGTAAAAAGTCTTGAGAAAAGGAATTTGCAACCAGAAACATGAATTCGCAGGTTTAAAATAAGTTTGAGAGAGAAGAAAGAGATGAAAAATATAAGAAAGAAGATAGAAATGAGCATCTATATATGTAGAGAGAAAGAGTGTGTGTGAAAGATAACTTACTGCTAACTTAGGAACAGTAAATACGAGTAAAATTGTATTGAAATCCAAATAGAAGGAATGAGAGGTAAAAGATTTCTCTTTCCCTTTACATACTTTCCCCTCTAACATCTATCCATTTTTGAACTTGAACTCAAACTTCAACTGGAAAAAAAGATGCCACTCACGACATCTAGGAGCCATCTCCAATATTCACCATATATGTGTAGCTTCTAATTTAGACATTACCTACCTGCCTTTGATACAGCTCATTGATGAACTTGGTTTGAGATTGCACCAAAAGAAGGGTACATTAAAATCATATCAATTAATTGGGGTGCTGCCGAATCTAGTAAGAATGTTTCAAACACATATGTGCCCATTCACAAAGGAACCCTCTCCATCCGCAAGGGCATGGGCTGGGTGCGAAGATGAGAATAACAAATTAAAAGGTTATTAATTAAATTAAAATTCAAAATAAATATGTTAACAGAATTGACTCTATGCATTTCACTTGTATTTGAACCAAATATATAGTTTATGTCATCAAAAGACCAAAGTGACAATTTTGTTGAGAAGCAAAATTCATTACGTAAAACCTAAGAAGCCAGAAGCTTCATTTTTTATTAAGTATGGCTTTTGGAAACAGAAACAATATCTAGATGGCATGTTTCATGTTTGATACTTCTTATAAAAGGGTGTACCCTAATTTGGACGGGCTTTATTACTACTCCTACCAATTTCTTCTTTTATATCCTGTGGTACTTCCCCTATAAATTCTGAGAAGAAAGTTTTGACTATCAAGGGATGGTTCCTATTTACCATCTTACGAGGTCTAGTTAACACTCAAAATCTAGGCTTGGTTAGTCAAACCCCCCCCCCCCAATTGTTTGTAGGGTTTCTGTCGTTTAGATAACTTAAAATGGAATCCCTATATCAAAGGTGTGCAAAGAAACTAACAAGAAACAAGATCTTTACAAGGGATTGTACGGCTTTTATTACTAGAGAATTTCTTTATAATGTAAGTTAAGGTTGTTTTGCTAAACAAAACTAGTGAAGTGCAAAAAAGTAGGCCAGCAACTACCATTAATAAGCTTCACATCAAATCAACAAGGCAACTACTGATGACCAAGACAATAAAGTGATGCAATTAGATCTTCATGATCTAGTTGGTCAAGAGGCCACAGGTATATGTCCAGAACCTTGCCAACAAATATGAACACGGACTTCCATGGTGTAGTCACATGTTGTAGAAAATAATCCATCAAATTATTCGGTACCCAATACTCCATCCATTTCACAATAATCTTTTGTACCATAACTTAAAATACTCTAAACCGCTGCATGAAATTCATAAACTTGGTGATCAAGAGACATATTTGGCAATCTAGACCTCAAACATATGATTTCTTAGAACTTCAATAACCCTTCTTTAAAATAGTTAAACTGCATTCAGTGCTGTACTGCCATATTTGGTCCTGCCCCTCTGAAACATGACCTGGAATGAGAGTTCACAATCGCAATTCCCCAAATCTGTAAGTGAAATCTTTTAGAAAGACAAGAGTCAGAAATTTCAGGTATACTACTCTACCACCACTAAATGATTTCTCGTATTCATAGTAGAATACAAGAATCGTCATTTGTGGACGACTAAAAAGCGGTAGTCAATTTGTCCAACCAAATTTAGCTTATTATTGCAATACCCTTGTGTAGATCTTGGGCATTGTCAAACAAGATTGTCACACATTAGTAAATAACATGCTTTCCTGAGAAGCATTTGAACAGATTTTGGGTCAATTAGGAAATCTGAGTAACCAAACACCCTAAACTGTAGCATTACAAGAGGAATTTGGTAGTTCCATAGTAGTTCAGTTATATCAGACAACAATCTAGAAAACGTTAAATACAAAAATATCATATCTACTGGCAAGAAAGGCGGCATGGATGAAAAGAATAATAAGATCACCCAGTTTGCTCCCCATCGAAGAGGTCCACGGGTAAAAACTAGGATCTGTTAGAACTGAAAGGTTCCTCTGTCATCTTACTAACAAATTACTTCACCAAAGGATACCCACCCCCCTATTCAAAAAAAGTAAAAAATAAGCAACCTCTTCGAAAGTGGTAGAGTTCAAGCGATACTTAATTTATCCAATTCCCCCTCTTCAAAAAAGGTAAAAAAATAAGCAACCTCTTCATAAGTGGTAGAGTTCAAGCGACAATTTATCCAATTCTCTATCTAGTTTGGTTTCCTGACTTCAGAAGTGTTCATTTATTAGTTGTTTTCAGTTTCGATATTCACCTGAACCCAAGTAGTCATTTATTCTGTTCTCTTTCAACAATGATCGAGAAGAAAACACTTATGCAATCAAATTTTCCCAACCAAAAGGTCATTGGCTGGTATCCAGGTTACCAGTAGATCCCAACCTCCCTGGAGGTCAAGGGTTCAAGCCTCACCAAATGTAAGGAGTGTGCCTGAGCTTTTCCGTATAAAAACAGTATATGCTTCAATAAAAAAAAATTCCAAACCCAAGCAGTCATTTACTTTTTTTTGTTTTTACCACAAAAAGATTTCCAAACCAACCTGGAGTGGCAATTATTCACTACTGAGAAGGGTAAAGAAAATGTGGGAAGAACAGAAAGTGCAAACGAACAAATGAAGTCCCACAAACTATAAGACTAGATCTCAGCAAGGAACTAGAGTCCCCAAAAATACCCCAATCATCAATGGAAACAATAGATTTTTTCAACTGCAGGGAGGGAATCCTCCCATCCTGGGGAAGAAAATCTGTAATGAAGGAGAGTCTAGCAAAACAGGGACACTGATATAGGATAGTATAGATCAAAAGCCGGTAGATATTTCAAATGCATACAATTACATAACTAGATCTATCCAATCTTAAGCATAATGAATTCCAACAATAAAAAGCAATTCAAATATCACAAAGGGGAAATAAAGCTAGCATACCTGATGCATTCACCCTCATCTGCTGCAACCACTATCGGAGAGAAAGGTTGCAGCAAAGCTGTTTTAGCACCAGTCTCAAATTTTGTATCCCAGCGAGCAATTGGATTATGAAGATTGCTACCAGCTGAAAAAAGAAAGTGGTATTAGTATCAGGTAAGGTAAAGATGGTCAAAGTTATATCACAATTGGTAGGTGGACCCACAAGAATGTTGGCACTTTGTGATGTGCTCCAGAGCAAATTTTTCCCTTTCTTCACGCCTAGCTATAATCTCTTCGGTGCCATCAGTTGCTGTAAGAAGTGGTTTCGAAAAATGACTGCAGCTCCAGTTATAGATGGTTGATTGAGGAAGAAAACTGCGCTCTGAAGCTCCTGGAACTCCAGGAGAACCTAAAAGAGGATCAGCTAGCCCAGAATCCATTAGGTGTGGTCTGAATTCAAGAGAACAAACTCTCCGCATTCCTATTCCTGTCAAGTAACTTGGTCGTGGAGGGCTGACAGGAGGAGTTCTAAATGTCGTCAGAGGTAGATGACCTGTTCATGGCACGAGAGAAATAATTACTGAGTGGAAAATTCTGGAAAGGTATAGAGAAAGAAAGATGATTTGATAACTGAATCATCTGACAAATATGTATCACAAATTATGAGTTCAAGCACCTTCCAAATTGGACCATACAAAAAAATTAACAGTTAACATTACACAAGAAGCATGACAAAAAGAAATAAAAAGAAAGGTACCTCCATTCATATCAAACCAAGAAGATGAACGAGCTAATCCAGCAAGACTATTGGCAGTCGTTGAGGTTTCGCCTGGACGTACACTGCCTGTGGTGGGTTTGACAGACTTTGTCACAACTTGTTCGATCCCAATTATGGAAAGAACTCGCCGGCCCAAACTTGAAATGCGTGGTGATGGGTCCTTTGCTAGCGTACACATGGCTGATACACATTGTGAATACAAGGCATTGTCTAACTGCCGTGGTTTTGTATGGTTGACAACCCCATTTGTAATGCAGTCATTCAGTGTGCCTGGATCGGAGTGCTGTGACGAATCATCCGAGAGTGGAGAACCATGCATTATCCCAGATGTAGCAAGGGGGCTGCTGGAGGAAACCCTGCCATCTCTTGCAGTTGCTTGGTTGTCACCTCCCACCCTTGACAACGGACCAATTTGAGAATACTGATTAGGAGTATTATAGCCACTAACTGAACCCCTAACAGTAAATGAAGGCAAAGAACTAATCACAGAGTTAGACTGCGGTTTCCAATATGCAGCAGCAATAGATTTCAGGTGCCTGTTGTGGCCAAATGCAAAGCGCGCAAGAGCTGCAAATTCAGATTGAAAGATCAATTAAGATTCCATTTCACGTTGATTTAGTCTAAAAACAGCTTCTCCATGCAAAACAATTCAATATTGTCACTTGTCAGCAAAAAAATCAAGAGGTGAAGCAGTAACTAAAGTTAGCATATACAATGCTAACAACACAAATAATAAAATATGAAACCCTGGAAGTTACCCAACAACTATAAGCTTGAACGTAGTCAGCATCTGAATATCATGTGACTAAGAGCATGAGAAAGCTTATAGCTATTCTCTTGCCTAAGAGTTCTTAAACGATCCTTCTGTACCAGTAAGAAATATTACTCAAAGCTCCTTTCCCTGCAGAAACTGTTAAGAGTCTCATGTACACATCCTTAACCCGCAACCAGAAAAGTAGTTTCTTTAGTTTAGAAGTTGAAACCATGTACTATGGATATGAAGGCTCCACTTGTGGACAGGGAACAAAGCCATCTATTATAGTCTTAGGTATCAGAAAAAAAATATAGTACAGTGACTCCAAAATAAAAATATGTAGCCTCAATGATGTGTAATTTAGATACCTAATCATATTTGAGATAGGATATGTCACGATTCACGGTATATGTAATGCATTACTCAATGAACATTTAAACACCCAACTATGTGAAAGGGGAACAGCTAACCAGCATAATTGGGTATTTATTACAAGATGTTTAGAGCAGAATATACCCACACACGAAGAGAATTTTGCCATTTTTGCAACAAATAAATAGCTTCTAGCGGCCAACTGATAAAATTGAAACATTAAGTTGCGTCTACCCAAACTGTATCCCCTGGTTTCTAAAATGTGTAAGCAACGCATAAGAGGTTGAGTGACCTTAATCTAAGCAGGGATTAAGTAGAACCATAAGCAGTTCATTTTAGTATATGAAAATATAAAAGGATCTTTTATGATGTCATTTTTGTAAAATTACTTCCTCTAATAAAAGGATCGTGAAAATTCTGTCCTAGTCAATGGAAGTCGATTGATAAAAAGAAGCTCAAGGTTGATTGCTCTATTAATTTTTTTGGCACGCTTAATGCAACAATTAGTTGCTAATCGAAGTCCTAGAAGATGCTTAGAACACGAGTCTCACCTATGACATATCATTTCTCTAAAACACACCTCTCATGATATCTTGTCTCATTTCTTTAAGCATTATCAAATAAAAGCAATGGTATCACATAACCAAACCAAAGAAAAAAGATAAGGAGATCATGTGAGGTGAGATGAGATGAACATTTCCATCGTGCAATTATATTGGTTAACCTTAATCCATAAGCTTCCAAAATAATAGCTCTTAAGCCAAGCAAGAATAAGTTGTCCGTATATGATGAATTTATAGGGAGAATTACAAGTGGCATAACATACCTACTGCAAGCTCTGCCCTGACCAACGGACTTCCATCTGAAACAACATTCAGAAGGCTTTTAACAATACTTATTTCAGCCCCAACTTTTTCATCATCATCACGTTCATCATCTCCAACATCCCTAGATGAGTCGAATCCAACATCAAGTAGAGTGCCCAATGCAAAAACAGCAGAAGCTCTAACCTGAAAACAAGTGCTTTCCAATTATTGACAGAAAAAGAAAAATAATTGAAGGCGAAGTCAAATTATCATATATGCAGAGCATTTTAATTGAGAAACATAATGAACCTCAGGTTGGGGCTCAGATAGTAGAAGTGAAAATACAGTAGGAGCATTCGCCTGCAAGCCTATTATCTGTGCTTCAGTGAAATCTTCCCATAGCTTTCCCAGACAAAGACATAGCCACTGTAAAAACAGTGGCTCAGTTTGGGTGTCATTTGGAGCTGAACCACCTTGAAGATGTTTCAAGCAGACATGAATTAGATTAGCTTCAATACAGGCTTCTTGCCCCTTTCTGTGCCCATCAACAATGACAGTCAAAACAAATGCAGCCATGGCACGCTGTTCAGGGTACGCTTCCACACTATCCAAAAACCTGATAAAATATGTATGCCCAGTATCCTTCACCAGATCAACCTGGCATGACTGTCAATTCAAAAGGATGATGTCAGGCAAAGTTATCATGCTATATGGAAAGAAATAAAACAGTAGGGGAAGGACGGACTAAGGGTAACATACAAAATTTTCAATTCTAGAGAGGAACATGTAAATTATATACGAAGACATCTAACACTAGATGAACACGAAAGGTCCTTGTAACATACCTTATCAAGTGCTAAAATCTTTGTCCAGATGAACACTAAAATTTGTCGAAGTTCAGGTGTGGTTGTCTGCAATAGCTTCAGAACATACGGAAAAATTCCTACTGACAAGGCCTACCACAAATAAGTTATCGTTATAAGATGATCAATATGATATACCGTTAGAAACATGTCAACAAGCCAATTAAGAGCCAGAAAAAGCTCAAATAACCTACCAAATCAACAGCCCATGGACCCATATCAAGAAATCTTCCCAGAAGCACAAGTGCACGAAACCTATGGCATTGACTGAGTAAAACCTGAGCCATGGGACATTTAAAGTAGTCAGCACTTGCTGCAGAGGCGTCCAAGAAACATATGAAAATAAATAATTGCCTCATAGAAGCAACACTTTGCAATTGGTCTACTTTATGTTGGAACAAGAAGCAATTAATACTTACAAAAGCAACAAAACATGCTTGCTGCTAATAGTATCAAACAACGTGACTGAACTCAGAACAGGTACGAGCTAAAGTGTAGAGCCTAGAAGCTCAGAACTCCAACCAGTCCATCTTCCACAACATAATTATGCAAAATAGATGAAAACTTCCAGCATGCATATCTTAACATCAATGACAATATATTAACATAAAAGGACCAGGAATACAGTAGATGAAAACTTCCAGCATAAAAGGACCAGGAATACAGTAGATAGACATATGGTTTATCTAACAAGTCAAACAATTCCAAAATTGGAAGTAGCGGCAATGCCATCACCAAAAACGGTGCACTACTATAGGACGAGCATGACTCTTAGATATGGACTATCCTAATTGACACATTGTGGAGAACACTTCACCTGAGAATTTCTGGTAGTCCTCTTATCCTATTAAACAAATAATCATAGTTTACAGAAGCCTCCACAAAAGCTAGAACTCTGAATCACACATGTATCATACAGACACCAACTACCCGATAAGTACCCATCCAGTGAGTGGTTGGTCAATGAACAGCAATAAATAAGAACCACCATCAAGAGTTCTCCATCGAACAGCAATAAGATCAACAAAGAAGTGATAATAATTTAAAGACTCCTAGTAGGGACTAGGGAAATGCTTCTTATCAGCAGCCACAACATAAAACGAGAACGAACTTAACAATCAAAGAGAGAACCAGTAAAGGACATGCCTGAAGAACAATAGGCAACTGCTCAGGTGGTTTCTTATGTTCAGACCCATGATCAAGCCACACCTCAAATGCTGTCAACTGTTCCGTGAAGAAAGGACTTGGCTGTAAAAAAGATTATAACAACATTGAGGATTAATCGGTAATTATAAAAAGCTGGCATCCATACATTGGTAGGTCAGGCTCTAATAAACTAATTACTAAAAATCAATTTAATTATGCATAGATCAGACCTGGAATTCCGCATTAGGATCCTCAAGCAACGTTGGGAGCTGAGAAAGGCAGATTTCAGCAGCCATGTCCCATGCATCCCTGCCAAGCACATAATGACAGGTGGTCAAACCCATAACTATAATAGTCGAGAATTATAACAGCATAAACAAATTCCTATGCCTACCACATATGGTGCTGATGAGTTGGAGGCAACATTGGATAAGATACAGGCGAACAATTTGCCGAACGCATAATTCTCTCTGCAAGTAAAAAGTTCCGAAACAAACTGGCAACCAACAGGTCTTGCCTGAATAATCTCTGAAATAGATCTGCAATGAATAAAATCAAGTACCGACCTCAATCACCGAAATAAAGAGCTAGGCACATAATAAGAATATTGTTATCAATACCATGTGGAAGAACGTTCCAGGCAATTGTGTCTGTAACTGCAGTAAAAATCCAGTTCAGCTCGCCAAGAAGGGTCTTACGGTCAGTTTGGCGGCCAGGTATTCTGTCTATAAGCGAATAATCAAGCGACTCATGTAGTAACGAACGAGTGCAGAACCTGGAGAGTTGCATGATATCAGAATATCAGCAAGCAGAATAAAGTTATTTCAGTTTGCATCTTTATTATTAACGTTTCACTGGTAGAGAGTAATCGGAAGAGCATTCACCATCTCAATGCGATCTTGATGGGGGTTGTAAGGCAGGAAGTAAACACATCAGCAGGAAACTCATGACTTTGTGGTAGGGTCTCATGTGCTTCACAAGCTGCTAGTAAAATACAGTCCCTTGATGATGTTCCCGAAGAACTCGATGGCGTCCAATCCTGGAGCTATGTATAAAAGATGATGAAGTATTTAGTCACAGCCTCACAGGCTAAGAACAAAAGATTAATGATATCATCAGGTCGCAAATAGCCTATTTTTGGTACCTCTATGAAGGCATTGATGATCATCCCTGCAGCAGAGCAATCAAAAACATATATCGATGGAGTCTTCAACCATGAGTCAAGGTCACTAATAGGCAAAGGGATATACTGTGTATAACTCTACAACATTTGACACAAACAAACAAGATTAGTCTAGCAAATTCATTTTAAAGAAGGCATGAAGAGACTCCAAGTTAAAAATATAGTACCCTGTTAAAAAACCAAATTTCACCATTGGCAGTTGGTTTAGGTACACCATGACCATTATAATGAAATAGAACCCTTTCAGATTTGGCATACTTGCGACAGGTAGTACAGAGTTTCTTCACTTCTTCCACAGTAGGATCTAACTGAATCTTGTATTTGGCCTGTTCATAGTCCATTAAGTTCAGACGACCCTCCTATTGAAATTGCAAGTGTTCAATGGTGTAGTTAAACAACAATCTCACCTTGGGTTGCCACCTTTCGTACTGAAAACTCAATGTTTTCCCAATTGTTTCAAGTGCTTTTTGAGGGGCCATAGAGAATGGATCTGAGACCAAATATATCGACATATGACAAGAAGTAAGATGCTTTCAAAAATTACATGCATCATTTGATCCGCAAGGCTAAACCTCTAGGGAAGCAATATCCTCCAAGGAATAAAGTCAAAAAGAAATTTAAGTTTGTGATGACAAAAGAAAAGAAGTAAATATAGGCACCTTAAGTAAAAGCAAAATCATGATCACGCTCACATTTTAGTATGTAATTATCTTATACATTTATGTATGAATGATGTCATAACTTCTGTTTTGGTTTTGGTTTTGGTTTTGGTTTTGGTTTTGGTTTTGGTTTTGGTTTTGGTCTTGGTCTTGGTTTTGGTTTTGGATTTGCATATACATACACACACACAACACATGCATCCTCATACCCTCAAACTTTAGAATCTCTGAAACCCAATAGCCACATATCAAGCACTTGTAACCATGTGCCTGTATCCTTGCAACGCAGCAATTAACATGCATAAACCCAAATGGATATACACGATACAAGTGAATCTACTTCAAGTCCAAGTAAATCTAATGAACCAAGGAAACTGACATTTACAATTCAACATATAGACAGATACAATGCATCCTAGAACTTGGAACCCAAGCTAAAATATTCCCAAAAGATACTTTGAACCCAGTTCAAGATACTTGTTAATGTGTGGAACCTATCAACCAATCGCATCTTAGAAATACACAAGTATAGTGGCAGCATCCCATTCCATCACACACCATATACTTTAAAGACGTTGTACCCTTGCCCAAAAGGCTAAAAGAAAATTCAGTAACTATTAAATCAAATCGCAGAATAACAAGAAAGATAAGTGAGGAAAATTTTGAAATATTATTCTTCTGGTTACAACTAATATGACAATCATTTCAGGTAATTCTTGGGTGATCTTCAGGTTTTAGTAATCTAAGAAAGATCCAAAGAGAAGGGATGTAATGTGTTACTTTCAAGCTATCATTACAAATTGATGACTAAAATTGGGATGTCAAGGGCAGCCCATATAATTGAATATATCTAAAGCACTATATAATTTTTTAAACCCTCAAAGCTTAGAATAAGAAACAAATATGATAATAGGTAGTGGTCCTAAAATGTAGAATTGTTATTAGAATGATGACTGGACGTATATGCCTAACAAAAAAAGAACATGAATATCAAAGTTATACCTATCCAGCACTCCATTCTGGCACAAGGTGAAATCTTTATAACATCAGGCGGGTCCACGCTGATATTCAAACATAGAACAAGAGCAACACATCCTGTTTTCATCTGCGGTTAAAAACAAAATTTTCAGAATTAATTAGACAAGTAAGTAAATTATGCCAGCTTCTTCATGGAAACTTTATTTGTATAAGGCATGGGACTGGTCTACAGATGGGTGTATCATATCTGTGAAAAGAGTGACCCAAAGTAAAGACTCCTATGGTTAGCACATTGGTAGGTAGGAGACTCTGAAACTTGATAGAGCAGAGTGAAAATAAAAAAGAATATGTGATGGTCTTGTGTAAAACGAGCACTTGCTCCTACTTTGCCATGTCCCATCCTGAACAGGCCATTCATAAAAAAGGCAGGGGGTGCAAAGATCAGTTCACAGCCACATAAACATAGAAATAATCAAGTTTGTTCACACCCACCAACCAAAGTTTCCCAAGCTACAATCTCTTGTCTAAAAGCACAACTGTGAAGATGCACTGAGAAAAAATTCAACTACTTCCACTTGTCATAAACTTCACTACCCATATACTCAAACTGCTATACATGGGACAGATCAGAATGCTGCTACATAGATAGATGAGAGTGGTAGTTATATGCAGATTTGTACTTATCCTAGAAGATTCTGATTAGGTTGTTCAGGAAATTATGATGGCAATAAATTTTGTCAATAAGGCTTTATTAGTTGATATATATTTAAATTGCATAAGGTTTCCTACTTCATTACAGTATATACATAATGTCGTAGTGGTCTACAACCATAACGCATTCTAGGACTGTATTACGAACATGATTGTGTAAACATCGTCAAATTTTACTTCTTGTGCTAAAACAGACATTCAAAAAAGTGAACAATTCTAGCAGCGTATAAACATCAAAGAGCAATCCTAATTTTTTTTAACAATTTTCCAATATCATAATTGCACATATATTTTGTTTCTCAATTCTAGGTTTATTTACAAAATGTAAAATGTGAGCATAACATGGGGCAATTACCAATATGGTATGATTGTAAAGAAAATTAGATTGCCTACAAAAATAATTGGTGTAGTAACAGCAAAAACTACTTCTAGAATCTTAAAAAGACCCAAGTAAATCTCTTCGAACCTAAATATTCACAAATATACATCCGATACTATATACGCTTTATTCAATCTAATACCTTCGGAGGAACTTCTAAGTCAAGTATGCATATCCTCATTTAGTTTAAAAACATTACACTCCTTAGATGAGAAGCGGAATTAATCAATATAACCACCATGAAATATTGCAATCTTGCGCTTCTTAAACATCACAAAATTATCTTCTTCCTCCTAACAACCAATAACAATTCACTCCACAATGCTTGGAAACATTAAATTGAGTTAAAGAAGCTAATGGTTTGATAAGAAAGGAAGCTTATGCCAAAAAGTCACATCCTTGTTGCTTCTCCTTTTACACAGGTGGACCAAATAGATCTAGGACCTCAAAACATTGACACCCCCCCCCCAAAAATAAGTATCCATCTTCAGAAGCAGGCCCCAGGTGGAAAATAAGTTGATGTTGACCAGTTGCGCACATAGTAACAGAAGTAGCTAAACATAAAAGGATGCACTAAAGAATCATGTTACAAAAAAAGGCGACCTTATGTACAAAAAGAATCAAGCGACGGGAAAGAAAAACTATCAGCCGAAAAGAACAATCAGTGTAACTGTTTTGACTTGGTGTCTACGTTACGTAGACTGTAAGATCCCCAAGGGTCCAAACGAAAGCCTTGAGGATAGCAATTCATATCCAAATTATAATTGGCAAAGCTTCTTGATGACCTATCAACTTGGAAGGTACTCAACCATGTAATGGGCTCTCCAGAGATAGAAAAATATTTAGCAGGCCTTCTATCCTGAAATAGTTAGTGTAGGCTAAATATAAAACCCAATAGATAACCTCATAGAGTTTCAAGGAATGAATAGCATTCATCCAGGCGCTCATATCTAAAATACTAATTCATTTGATATATTCCACTCCTTCAGACCTCCTCTAACATGTTAATTTAGGACAAACCTCTCCTACCGACGGTCTCTTGGTATGAATCTCTTCACACCAATGCACATACAGGCAAGGTTTTAAAGAACAGAAACGAGCCTCAAGGTGCTTTCCTCTTAGGTGCGTGAGGCATAAGCCCCAAAAATAAAACAACAAAACTATAATTCTGTAACACTTGACAAAAAAAACATAACTTCATATTTCCATACAAATAAACAAACTATAAAGCCCATGATTCAGAATATTTAAACACACACACACACACACATATATATCTATACTATATAACCGATTATGTACAAATTTTATATATTAAAACAGATTATGTACATAAAACAGATTAGTCACAATAATATGTACATTAATCAGAATATATATATATATGTATATAACAGATTATACAGAATATATATATATATATATATATTAACAAATATGTAGATTATATATAGATAGATAGATAGATATCTACATATAAACAGATTATACCTAAGAACAGCATGTATATACTAATATATACATAAGAAACAGAGAAATCGTTGGAGAGAAGAGCAAAGAAGCAATTGTTGACTGTTAGTTGGAGTCTTGGAGAGAAGAAGCAATAGAAGTCGAAAAGCCTTATTAATTGACTGGTTTGGTATTGAATTGATGTAGGCAGAAGAATAAGAGTCCGGGTTTCATATGTCGATTCTGTTTCCATAATAATAGGGTTTTTTTAGTTTTAAAAAAAAGGAAGTTATTTATAAAGGAGAAGAGACGCACGCCTCTGGACCGGCCCACCATCCCCACCGCCCACCTAACCCATCAAGGCACACGTACAATCTGCTCTCGTAGAGGCGGCGCCTCATAAACATTTTGGGCCTGAATCGCCCTGAGGCACGCCACTTGCGTTTTTTAAAACAGTGCTTACAGGTCTACTTAGTATATGAACAAACCATCACAACCTTCTCTCTCATCATTATTTTCAATCTTATCACTCGATATGTGGTCGAACGACCCACATTAGCATTCATATTTTTGATGAGCTCTTCTTTTGTGAATTTGTCTCTTGGTGACCCACCATTTTTCCTTGAAGGCAGTTACATGGTTCCAGGCCCCACAATCATGCTATAGAGCATACCCTTCAACTTCATTGATTGCATTGGACTCTAAATCTTTGTTGCCATTTCAACAGCGAACGCATATCATAGGGCTAACACCCCTATGCATCACTTCGGCATTCTAAAATGCAAACGTAAGACACCCTTCCTAGGTACTAGTTATCCGCACATGCATATTGCATTTTGTGCTTCAATATCAACACCTCAAGTGACACTTCATACAGAACCATTTTAGTCCGACTCTAACATGTTTTTATCCCATGGTGTTTCTCCATAACCCCGCTTCTGCATTAACACCTTTCTCAACAATCCATGACATCATCAGTGAAAAGCTTGTATCATGGATATTCATCATATATGTCCTTCCTAAACTTTATTCATAACTAAAGCAAAAAAAAAAATGAGTCAACAAGTACCTCAAGTGTAACCAATAACAGTATGAGAAGCATCTATCTTGTTAAGACTACTTTCACACTCATCACTATGTCATCATACATGTTTTTAATCACATTCACATGTAACAAATCATCTCATAACTCCACCACATAACTTTACTTAGGCACCCTCGTGCCTTCTATATAATTAAACACCACACAGAAACTTTTTTGTCCCGTAATCAGAAACATCAATTGTCGAATCAATTTGGTGGTCATAAGAGAAGTACACAGAAAAAGTTGATAAAACCCCCCAACTACTAATGTTTTACCCAATATACTTGCATGTATTTAACTACAGTCTACAAGAGACAGCCTTAGTGGTCAAGCTCTCAATATAAATTGACATACAAACACATGGTCATATAGTTCCATAGAACTCTACTTTTTCAAGCTTTAAGTAAATATTACTGGAACCAACAACACATATTCACAAAATATCCATGATTAGACTAAGTTGAAGCTTATGCAACTATAACCAAATTGAGAAATAAACTCTAAAGAAATTCATTACCAATAACCAGCCAACAAGGCAACAAAAGATAACCTCCGTTTTCAAATGTGTAGCTATATTAAACCCAAATATTATTTTTAGTACGGCTTACTAATAACTAAAGAGAAATTTTACTCCCCTTGGCCCTTGTACATATCAAAAGAATAAGGTTTCTGGCACTGCCACAATTAACTTCTACTTTGAAGCCTTGGCCATAATTATCATTATTACAACAACAGCAAATACTTGCTGAAACAGAATTCTCCAGCAGATCTCTAAAACAAACTCCTACAATCATGTGAATTCCAACTAACAAAATCAAAACCACCCAAAACCACAGGCCTTTTGCCTGATATCCAACACTAAAAACATACAGAAGTATTAAGACAAGTAACCTTGAATTGGTTACTACATCTAATGTGGCAAGTGTACATGATTCCAGGTCACCCTACTCATCCAATTAGTATTCAGTTAGAAACAAATAAGTTTAATAGAAACAAACATATACCTTGTTTTCCACACTTCCTAAACGACTTTCAAGTGGACATACGAGCACATTATGTCATAAGTACATAAAATGAAAAAAAAGAACAATAACGATCCAAGGGTAGATGCAGTATGAGAAAACACAACAAATTACCCGGTCCTTAGGTCGCCATTTCGAGACCAACCCACTTTCAGCAGGACCGGATGGGGTGCAAACCTCAAATGCATCATGTCGAAGCTCAGACAAAACAACATTTTGAGGCAAATATGCCATACTGGTAGCCGCTATCCCAGTGACCACCGCATTCCCATTTCCAACTCCATAACTAGTAGTAGAAGCAACTGTGTCGGAATCTTCTTTATCCCTGTTGTTGTGATTATCCATCCTCTGCACTGCAGCTACTGAATCAGAAGAAGAATCTCTATCCCTATTACCATCCACTACTCCATCTTGAAGAAGAACGCTTTGATTCAAATTGGGATGCTGCGAATTGGAATACCCGTCAAGATGATTAGAAACCGCTGCCACCATTGACGACTGCGACTGCGAAAACCTAGACTCCATCAAATCTCCCAATGCCATTCAATTCAAAAGAAACAAACCCTTAGCCCTAGATAGGACAACCTTGAGTTGCCCCCTCCAAACAACCTCGTTAAAAACCAATTTATACCTTTGAAAGAGAGATAAGCCAATCCCTAATCAACGAAGCCGCTAAACCAGCGGCGCATGGAGATTCTTCTGAGAAAAGAGAGGGAGTTATCCAGCTTCGTCCAAAACCCCTACGATGCAGGATTATTAGATGGGAAGCGATGTGTATGGAGACAAAGATTGGCGTCTGAAAACCCTAAAAGAGATGAAGAAACCCTAGAGCAGAAGCAGGGGATGGATTGATGGTGGGATATGGAGGCGCATGTACAGTAGTGCGGCTGAACCGAAGAGAGAGAAAGAAAGAGAAAGAGAATCGAGGTCCGAAATGGTGGATTTTATGGGGTTAAAATATTCATAAAATCACTCATATGTCAAAAAAACTTCATTGCACCAAACATCTCCCCGTTTTATTATATTTTCTTAAAATAAATCATGTTTAGTTAAAATTAGTTTATAAATGATTAAAAAAATATTTTTTTAAAATTAATGAATTATAATATTTCACAATATAATTAAAATAAATTT